GAATTCGCAAGCGAGTAGTTTTACCTGTCTTTTTTGCTCCTCATTGAGACTCAGCCGAGCAACGATGGTGCCAAGGGTGACATTCTCGAGGATATGTGCCATAGCGGTCTCTGTCAACCAGATAATATCTATAGCAGGAGCCGTCAAGGAAGTCCCTGGGGGGCAGAGGGTTTTACTAAACGAGGTGAGTCTGATCTGACAACGGCTGGCCTGTTCCTAATAAACCTGCTGAACGGAAACTACACGACCTCTGCGGAGCACCCTTTTCTGATAAAAGATTCTATCTTATATCCTGAGGTGTCCCTGAATAAGCCTCCCAATTGCAGTCATAGCTCACCTTGGACCGTTACTGTGACAATGGCCGTCGTCTCCAGGGAAGGAACACCTCCATCGTAGGCGACGACGACGAGATTGTGAACGACACCAGGAAGTAGATGACCAGCGGTCGACAGAACACCACTAGGTGTCAAAGAGAACAGAGAAAGTGCATCAAATCGCGTCTGAAAAAGGTTTAGTGGCTCAAGAAATAAGACACTATGAACAAGATGAAGAAAAAGTATTTTGAAAAATCTAACAGCGATATCTAGGTACTGAACATTACTAAGAAAGGTGGACTGTCTAATAAAATTGAAGTTTAGTATCCGAAGTTGTATTAAAAGATGTTAGGAATGTTGCTGGGTATTTATAGGCCCAACTGGAGGCTGAAAGGGTTCTGCGAATTTCCAGGCTCGATATGGAAGATCTCGCTCGATTCTTCTATCTTATCTCCTGTGAGATCAGAATGGAACCTCTGCGTGCGGTCGTATCGCGACATCGAGGGCTGTTGCTAAGCTTTCAAGACGGTGGTGAATGGTTATACATACAACTGGCACTCTTACAGCTTTGCATGATGATTTTCATGTGAAAAGAAGCTTTTGGTTCTATTTTATCAAGTTCATGATGTTCTATCAGGTTTTGGTAAGGTCTCATCGCTTTACTCTCCCTATTTCCCCTTTATTCCCCCTCCCTCCCATCTACAGCTGACACCTTCAGTTTGTGGTGTCAATTTCATCAGAAGGTTATGGAAAAACACCATCCCAAGGGTACTTAATCCGTGCTTCCGGGTACTGGGTACTTTCTTTATCATAGTAACCCCTAATGTGAGCTAATTTTCCTCTCGCTAAGTTTCCTTCTCAATTTGCTTGCTCCGAGCTCTCCCTTTGGACTATTTTGAAGATTTCCCCCATTGTCCACTTCGCAAATGAATTCGCGCCAGAACTCTCAATGGAAATGTACTCAAATGAGTGAGTCATGGACGTTGATGAATTGGCTACATAGAAGATTCAGTCAGTTCGTCTTCGTCTTCGGAAGATGAATGGGTCCAGCATCAAAACGAGAACCGCCATTGATTGGGCTACATTGCTTGCAGCTTTCGGAAGTCGGAAATAACCCTAGGTAGGCTCTTTTAGTGGAACTCTATGCACCTCAAGCCAGACAACGGATGGAATTCGATCTTGTACTTACGCTTCCTGGACAGCTTGGACAGCTTGCTTAACCATAAAACTATAACAATTCCACCCACGCGATTTGTTTCAGCTTCCAATGTTACAATTAATGCATGACTAGATGAGTCGGTAAGTAAGTGAGTATACCGTTCAAGGCTACTGAAGGCGTGCGGGGTTTTGGTAATGGACAAGGGTGCTGCGTAATAGACAATGTTGGGTTTTGAAAGGCATAAGTGCCAGTTCCAGTCACGTGTGGGGTCGTGCGCTTTGCCCATGACTTTGCACGATTATAATGACATCAATGCTACGATCAGCTTCGAGCTGCTAGATGACGTGCTGCCGCGTCCGCACGTGACGCAGCTTGGAGAATGACGCTTCACGACCAGGG